ATAAGACAGAGCATGCCAAATTAAGAGGATTCTGATTAATTAAAACCCCTAAAGAAAACAAGATCGATCATCCACATATATCTACTCATATAAATTAAATGAATGAAGGCTCGACGCTGTCTAAAATTGTAGAAATTAGCCTCTTCCATTAATTCACTCTAATTAATGATCCGCATCATGCGAGAGGGGAAGATGATCAGAAGCCAAAATTCAACACTGCTTTGGCTCGCGCTTTTAAGCACGACGGCCACTCACAGGACAGAAGGGTGGGCCCATCCATTTTGGTCTCTGCGCGAGTTGGCTCACGCGTTAAAGCGAGAGCCAAAAAGCCTTTTCCACCAAAATTAACCGAAACTGACAAGATTTCCTCCTCTGAAAAAAACAAAACAAAAGAGGAATCCCTATATCCAAAGGGACTCGTCTTCACAGCCCGCGCGCCCTACATGTGGAACACGTGTGCTATCAACCCCGGCCTACATATAAGAAGCGTGACGTACGTACGAGCCTAGCTTGACCATCATTAATTAGGTAGTTGTTGGTGCTTGCACGTACGTATATGTTGGCCAACAACAATCTTTATGTTGCGAAAGCATAATAAGAGGTATCGAGCCTGCTTGTTGATTTTTGTGTTGATTCAAGCATCAATGTATGTGCGGGGCCCGCCGCCCGCGGGGTTGATACTATTAATGAGAAGAAAAATTCTTTAAGGACCTAAAATATGAGACCAATAGGCAGAGCCGGTCCTGGGTTTTCTAAGGCCCAGGGCAAATTTTCTCAAGTGTGCCCATTTATACAAATTAAACAAATAAATAAATTATCAATTAATTAATTTTATTAAAATTATAAGATTTTACAAAATACAATCTTCTTTTCATTGCATTAAAAGAAGGAAAAAGAGTACCCGGCCAATGTTTCAGTTGAATCAAATAATAAATAAGAAAAAGTTAAAAAGATATGTATTACAAATTTACAATTTACAAAATTTATACATCTAAATTCTATATGTTATTGTAAAAAAAGTACCTTCAAAGAAAGTCGCTGCCTATCAGTCCAGTCGAACCCCACGAGGTCAGAGTTGGGGCTTAATCAAGAGCATCCTGATACAAAAGTTTAGATTAAATACTGAACCATAAAATCAAGAGTTAATGAGTTATCAAAGGAAGTTCAACATTTCAGAGCTCTGGCTCATACACAATTGAATAACATAAGCAAAACCCATCTGATTTCTCTTTTGAGATCTAGCAAATGCGCATCACACATTATACGCATTCTACACCTCACAAAGATATAAAAGATTACTCCTTTTTTGATGGGTAATGAGCTTAGTTTGAATATGCTTGACTTAAAATCATCAAAAAGTCACTTTGCTGAATTCAGAACTCTCAAGAACAGTCAACTGGGTCTTCCCCAAAGTTTGTCTACAGCTGTGTTTGACCAACTAATCGAAGATGTGGATCCCTTCTATTCAATTATGCCCTTTTAAATTGAGCAATCAGCACCAAAATTGACCTAGCTTTTACTCAATTGGGGGGGTGGAGTAAACAGAGGATTACTGACTGCATCAAAAAGAAAAAAGGAAAAAAAAAATCATCGTGATTAAACTCACCAGAGATCCAGAAGGAGAAGAGGAGCTGAGGAGGAACCCTAAAAATCGAGATCGAAACGTAAAAGACATCGCAATCGAAGACAAATTTAGAGATTTGTTTTTCTTTTTTTTCTTTTATTTCTTTGGGTCTCTTTTTCTTTGTTGGGTGTGCGCCAAAAACAACGGTGTAGTGGAGGAGGGGGTAAAATAATCTGCGGTCCAGCCCAGAGCCGGCCTAGGGCCTAGGGGTAGAGGTGAAGAAGACTAGGCGGTGACAGAGAGTTGTAAACTTGTAAATTGTAGCTCACCCCATAGTTTGTTCACCCACCTCTAGTGCCCCTCTCAGTTTTGGGCCCCGGGCTGTAGCCCTGGTGGCCCTACCCCTAGGGATAATGACTTGGCCATCATTAATGATGGCCAACTCATTATCCAATAGGAGGGGGACACCTCACTTGACCCACCTATTGGTCCCATATTTTGGGTCCCTGTAGCAAAGCTCTAATGGGAATAAACCCTGAAAAAGTTTGTTTATCCCTAAATCCAAAGCCCCCAACAAAAAAAAGCCCTAACCCTAACCAACAATTTAAACGTAATTATAACATTAACCAACATCCAATAAGAAATCCAAGTCAACAAAAAGCAAACAGCTTTAACATGTCGCCAGATTCCAGGATAACCCATGTAATTACAATTAATAGTGTCACAGTTATCCGTATAGATACATAGTCTCTAGGATTACCCGTGTAATTACATCATAACTCAGGGCACCAGATGTAATTAATCCATGAATAAAATGGGGGATTTCCGGACTTCTTTATGCACTACTTCTGTTTCTAGTCCATCATTTAAGTAAATAATGAAATGGGGGCTTTATAATAAACATATTACAACTTAGTATACATACCTTATTTTCTAAGATTCCTTCTTGTCATTATCGTTTTCCACTATAACAAACTTTTAACGTGCATGCTTATAAGGTTTAATGTTTAATTACATAAATTGTATTCTACGTATCGTATTGTCACACGTGCTTAATTTTCCTTTGGAAACCTGCTTTTCCTTTACATGCCTACAACTTAAAGCTCCGCAAAATCCACCTCATCAAACTATTTGCGAGTTTCGACAGGCCAAGCCACCTTCATCAACCATTTGAGAGTTTCAACAGGCCAATTATAGCTTGCAGGGAGGTCATTATGCCTCAAAGCAATACCAGAATCGGGAACGCATAAACATATTAACGGTATCCACGATGTCGGGTACTATTAATAGCAGCCTAGCTCAACTCGAAGCATATTGGCCTAAAGAGCCAGATAGCGATGAAAATTTTAAGATCACAGTGGAAAAACAGGAAAAAGAAGGTATATATACTTTTTTTTAACTCCTCTCTCTTATTTGTTCATTCATCAGCTAGTTCATATCATAAGGTGCCATTACACACACATGCATTAGCTTCTATTAGTGGAAATAACAAGAAACCAGTGACAAACGTTGGTCATAAACCCATAATTAACCCATACATATCAAGTGGTCAGCTACAAATTCAATTAGACACACAGAATTACCAAAACAAAGCTACAAAACTATAAATGCTAGTTAGTTGGGTCTCGGAGTAATGCTGCTCACTTGAATGGGGAGATACCATGCTTCCATTTGACAGACCTCCGGCTATATTGCTCAGGCGCAAAGCTCAGCCCAAACATCTCTTTCAGGGCTTTCCCAGGTTCTAACAGTCCAATTAGCTTCGCAACAATTGAAGCACTCTCTCTGACGTGCTCAAGATCTTCGGTCTCAGTCCAAAGGCGTTGAACCAACTGCCGTTTCCTCTGCTTAGAGTCAAGTGCAATTCCCCATTTGGTGTAAAGGCTCTCCCTCTCTGCTGGAGTGAATCTTTTCTGCATCTGCCTAAATAGCATCTCTCTTTCCCGCCGAAGCCTTCTTTTACTGCAACCAATTAAACATGCCATAGACAAGTATCAGCATTTCGTGAGAACAATGCTGAAACTATGTTGGCATTCACCCTGAAAAGAAAACTGAAGGATTTTTTTTCCCTTCCAACACTAACCCTCATATCGTTTGATATTTTGGCATTAGTTGTTGTTCAAATCTTGAAATTTGCTATTTAGTGTCTCAAATCCTACAAGTCCCACCGAATTAATTTCCATAGCAAGCTGACGTTTGAACTGTACAGAATATACCAATTTCATGTGATTTTTCCCAACATACCCTTATTATTATTATTTGGGGTTGCCCCCTTTCCTTTTGCCAATCCCTTATAACTCCAGTTAACCATCCAATTTTACATCCAGCATCCAAAACCCAAACGCCAACAAGTAAAACAACTGGGCAGAAAATCAAAGCAATTGGAGATTAGGATTCAAGGAGAGCAGAATTTCATCTGCAATACAAGCAACCTCTAACCTCCCCAAGAATGCACCGGTCTCAACATTCTCATTTCTGCTACACTCACTTTCTGTGCCTGTGGACTGAGAAATTAACAGAATGACTAATTTGGTGCAAACTTATAGGATTCAGTGGATGGACGTTTCCGAGATGGAACTATCATAGATTTACAGGATCAATGTCTCAAAAATGATGCAGAATGATGACAAAAGAGAACAATACCTTGATGCTAGGGTCACAACCTGAACTCCTTCCGCTGTCTTCATGCCTTCTCGAGGGAATGTTCTTTTCACAAAGGATAGCCTCCTGAGTTCAACTTCCATGTAAATAGCATCCGCAGGTTCGCCCTTGAAGAGCAAGAAAAAGTAAGTCCGGTGAACCAAGGCGACATTGCATGTATGCCAGAGCTCTATAATCTGTTGTTGCTTCATCTCAAACTCTAATGGCCATCTCGAAGGGGACTCCAACGGGTCAATAATTGGATCGAGGCCAATACCCCTTGTTTCCTGTCCTCCAAAGTCTTCACATGCACTCTGTCCTGCCTCCTGATACCGCCAAGGCACAGAAATTAAATTAGTATAAACACCATGAGAAAAGAGAGAAATATAACATCAAGAAGTTAAACCTTATCATCCATGAGAACCACAAATCATAAATATAAAATCAAGGAGTTAAACCTTATTATCCATGAGAACCATAAATCTATTGCAAAATTCTATGATCATTTTCTGAGTGTTGAAATGAAACATACCCTCTTACCCTGACTAATGAGAAAAGGTAAGGTAGAATATACACTTACCCCGCAAAACATGGGGAAATAGGTAAATAGATAATTTAGACATAGAGATAAGAGATATAGAGGGAGGGAGATATCCAAAGTTAATGAATTGCATCTAGGAAAAAAATGAAATTTATATTTGATTCGCGTCCTGCCATTATAAAATTTAAAAAAAAATTCAACAAATAACAACAACAGAGGTACCTGCAAATATTAAATAAAGGGTTTGTAGGATCTAGAGTCCTACGCAGAAATCAAAATAAAGGGTTTATAGGATCTAGATTCCTAATAAATGCCTTATTGCAAACTCATCTCTCACTAAAATCATATTTGAATACTAGTCCGGGATAGCGTTGGCTATTTCTCTCCCTCTCTTTATAACCGTGATCTCTTCCTGTCCAAATCTCGGCTCCAAAGGGAACAAGTACTGCATCTCATTCTTGAATCTCAATGATTTGAACTACAAAGTTTTGGACCTTCTCTATCAGGGTCATCAACATCGTACCTTGGGCCAGTTATCATTTAAATCCTTCCTCTTCACAGTTAGACTAGATCAGAAAGAATGGAAAATTCAGGCTTTTACTTTTCACATTTGGAAAGGAATTTTTCTTAAAAAAACTAAAAACTAAAATAAAATAAAATAAGTACGAAAGGAAATGACTGGGGTATTTTGGAGGCTTAAAAATTAAAGTAGAGATGAAAATGTAATTTGACAAACCTGATATGCCCTTAAAGAGAAAAAGCTTTTTTTGAAAGAAAAAAAACCCTTGAGCATGTTTGGCTATCAGACTTGGACGAAATTATGATACATAATCAGTAGGTCTTACATTGTTAGGGACTAGTATGCAAATATGAAATCTTAAAGAACTAATATTCAATTAAATTTGTTATGGAATACAACTAAAAACCCAAAAATACAATGATCTGCTGTGTAAATTCAAACGTAAAAAAATCATTAGCATTACTAGAGTATAATTAGTTATAGAATGCATGAAGCCAGAAGCATGCAAACAGATACTAAAATTTTGGCAAATTCTTAACATAGAGCTATTCCTACCTGATCATTCAGTTGCTTTTGATACTGTGCACGAGCCATTTTCAATCCTGCAACAAAATCATGGATGTTGGTAATGGCTCCTTTGGATGCAGTAGTAACACTCTCCCCATCAAAAACACTATCACAAGTGCTTCTTTCAAAATTCTGAGATTCGTCTCTAGAAGGAATTCCTGTTTCATCACCATAGTTAAGTGCACCACGTCTTCCTTGAAACCTCTCAGTCCTTGGAAGAGAGTCTTTGTGGGAACTGCCTGGTGGAGTACTATTTTTCTGCTCTTCTTGAAACCAAGGAGAATAATT